ATTTGACATAGCAAAGCATGTCTATTTTTCCTGCAGCTCAGAAGTGTGCAATCAAATGGCACATAGACACAGTACACACAGGCCTTTCAAACAGTTTAATTAACAATTTCTAGAATTTAGCACACAAGTCTTTCAAATAGTTTAAATAACAACTTTCAGAATTTAGCACAAAATTTTGCAAACGATAAATAACAATAATCACATTTTTTTAAAATACTGAAAGTACCAAATAATTTCACAATACCCAGATTTTCAGTATGAAATGCAGACAAAACCAAAAAAAGCAGCAGAATCTACGTGAATTTCTATCTCAACAAAATCTTAGCAACAAATCATCACCGTATTCTTTGACAGATGACTACCAATGTTTCAAAGAACAAAAAAATAAAATTTAAAAAACAATCAAAAAAGAACATTCTTGAAGTTCAGTTTTTGAAAATGCAAACACAGCTGTAACTACAATTTAAACTTTACGAGTAAAAATTAACCACACAAACGGCACAAATGCAGCAATACAAGGAAACATGTTCAATTCCCTCTCAGGAACAAAAAGTATCAAATAACAAGAAAGGTTTGAATGACGGCTCCACAAACTGATGTGTTTGAGAGAGACCCTCCTTAGAACGACCTTGGCACTTACAAGTAAGATTTCAATCAATAAGACATCGATTAAAACACATGATTAATTACGACAATAATGGCGGTATAATTAAAAACGTTCCTCTTGGGCATCAGAATTTTTATTCTCTACCTAAAGGCAAAAATCTTAATAAGAAAATAATGGCTATTTCATTCATTCAAAAGTTGTACTCTTTCAAATCCCGACACAAAAGACAATACAGTGGGAAAAAAAAAGTACCGCAGTAGAGTCAACGACAACATGAAGTTGACAACTCTTTCCAACATTTTAAAAAAAAGGGTAACTTACATTTGAAAATCTTTAGAACTGTCTTTAGAATTGTCTTCACAATTGTTTTCAGAAGCTGCTAAAGACGCAGCTTACTTCCAATGGCAATACACAGGGCAGATTATGCTTCAAGGGATGAGTATGGTGGAGAAATGTCCTCCACAAAGCAGCGGCTTGATCTGTCAGCACACACGGCTCAGCTCGATCAAGGCCACACAATACTGGTACAATAATAATGCAATAATACACACAGGAACGAACGTTTCCCTACCCCCGTCATCTTAAAGCAAGACACAATAATCACAGACTAGACTTGGAGGATGAAAAGGAATCAGTTATGAAAGCAACAGCAAAACTCTACCCTTTCCCCCATCCACAAAGACATATAATATTTTTTTTGTTTTTTTGTAGAGGGTTTTACGACGTTCGCAACTGCATAAGGTCATATGAGCGCCAAGGGATGAGTGTCAACAGAGAAGTCTTTACAGGGAATCAGACTTACTCTGCTCACCTCTCTAGCTTCAACAGCACAAAGTCTGCTTCGACTATCAAGGCACCCCGGAAATAGCGGGTCACAAGAGTGTGACAAAGACACAAAAGAAGTAGAGGAAAATGACAATAGTAAGGATTAGGAAAGAAAAAGCAGCAGTTCCCTGTTGCAGATCAGGCACAGTTATGAGCGTGACACGATGAATCAGCCCATTTACAATTCTACTGTGCTTGAACGAGAAATGTCCCCCCTTTGGGAATGGCCTAAAGACACGATAGTCTTGTGGGTACATACAATATCATTTTTCTTTAACAGACAAAACATCAGAAAATAACATCCTACCCCTCACCCCACCCCCACCCCATAACCACCACCTCCCTCTCCTAACTGTGAAGCACTAAAAAGATTTAATAGAATTTACAGTCTACTTAGTGAAGGTCAATCAAATATGTCCGCATTTCATCACGATATGAAAGAGACTAACAATGATTGATGAATTCAGGTAGCTCTAACATTCATTCCCAGAAAAGTCAGCATTCATGAAGATTACCAAATGAGTCAGCACATTTACCCGAGGCATGGGGAAGGAAACTTTTGCCCTCTTACAACAAGCAGGCACTGACGCTGTACGACCCGGACTAACACTGAGACAGACTACCGCGATATGGAGAGTGAAAATCAGATCTGCAACAGACTTCCAACTGGGCGGCAAATGTTGTGGTATGTTACAGTATGGCTACAATGTCCAATTCAACACTGTAGAAGGATATAATATATATAACAGGTGGAACCTCTGAATGTAACAGTCATCTTCAAAAGGACTAGGCCACACGACTTTGAGCCTAGAAAAATCCCCACACCCAAGTTCAAAAATGTTCATGAAGGAGACTTGAACTAAGGTCATCTACACCTTAGTCCAGCATGACACTAACTGAGGTATTTAGTGAGCCCAAAGTTTCACTTTTACCCTAAGTTTTACAGCATTTGCAACACAAATAAGTAAGTCATACAAGTAGTGAAGATTAAAAGTCTTACCAGAGAGTAACATACAAAGAGAAGAGGGAGGAGAGGTAAGGACAATAGATGTTAGATAGGAAAGAAGAAGCAAACCACACAAGAGCACTTCCCAACCACCCACATAACGGAGCTAAAAAGCTGTTCTTAGCCATAAGGTAACATCAAACTGGATATAATATTTCATTAATCCTCCATTGGAAGAAATTCACATCAAGGGACCACAAATCATCAACAAACGACTGACTTAATGCGGCCCAACAACATACATACATGTCGTCCCCTCAGAACTATTTTGTCCAAAGCGCCCTCTTTACTTAACCCTATCCGTACGTCCTGGGGTCATATTGTACCCCCGGGGTTGTCTTCTTCACAATTTAGAATGTTTCTAGTATGAAGAGCTCTTTCAGTATTTCTCAAAAAATCATTTGGACAGACTGCTATGCAAAGCGTGCGGATCGGATTAACGAGTAAATTCCTCTTTGGAAAGTGGTGGTACGGAGTTCCCCACTTCGTATGGAAACGATAGTAAAACACGACGTATGGATAGGGTTAAGTGGTGGCACAGAGTTCCCCACGTCGTATGGATACGATAGTTAAACACAACGTACGGATAGGGTTAAGTGGTGGCACAGAGTTCCCCACGTCGTATGGATACGATAGTAAAACACGACGTACGGATAGGATACGACAGTAAAACACGACGTACGGATAGGGTTAAGTACACTTTGGACAAAATAGTTCTGAGGCCACGCGGTCTCAACACAGCACAACCACAAAGCAAGAACAGCAATCAGAAACAAGGTACATGCACAAGTATCTCATTAAATAACAGCACCAAACTCAACAAGCTCCAAACAACACTAGTACTAGTACACCCACAGAGAATACAATTAATACAACAATCCGCAGTAACAGTAAAAATATATTGCTTAATTGATACAAACAAGCGACAAGTGTTGAAATTTGACTGGTATGTCAATGACAAGAGCATAAATAGAGGTCACGTATTATATATATAAAAGCAAACTTAGCAAGGGCGTCTGCTGCTATTGGCATCAGGAAGGTCAACTAATAACGTTTATAAATTACTATGAACGAAAGAAAAAAAAATGACCATCAGCAAATTAGTTAGTTAAGCCGAGGCAATAAAAAGCAAGTTGGAGTACAAGGAGTAATACAATTATTGTCTTAAAGTTAAAAAGTTCTCCAAGACAGAGAGCAAAGACCCCGATCCATCACAGAAGTATCAAATACAGGGAACTAGAAGGGTAAAGCAGGGACCCAGCTCTTGACAAATAGAAGAAAAAAAACCACCCATCAGTATAATGGTGAATAAAAAAAACAGAATTACGTAAGATGATTAGGAATACACGTCTTTGGGGAATAAAGCTTAGAATAAGAAATACATCGGACAAATATAAAAAGCAGGAAAAAACAATACCTTCATGGATAAAGAATACACAGGATAAAACATCTTTAAGAAATAATTATTATCCAGGACCAAATCACAGGCAACGCAATCTATATCATATTATCCTTCCATCCCCTAGTCTTTCGGAACTAAAACACTTTCAGATTTTTTTTCGATTTGTCTTAAAGATTGGGATCTTTAGTGACAATACATGCCTAAAGCTGCTACCCTCTCCACCTCATTCAGAATCCACCTCCAAGACTATTAACTACACACGTTCCTATCACACATTCGTGGACTAAACCAGTTACAGGAAAACAAGCCCAAAACAAGCCCATTGACTTCAAAGTCAACTTATCTTGGGGCTGTTACCGTTACCTGCACAATCTGACAATAATTGTTTTAGCATCTGGGTGGGTAGGAAGGGAAAACTTAGTTCACAGTTTTCTTGTTATTAATTCTTTGTGACAGGCAAAGACCTATACTTTGTTGCAAAACTGAAATAAATTACTTTACTTCAAAATAAAAAAAAGAATGTTTAAAGGGGGGGAAAATGTGTTAACCATAAAATTTTTTTAGATAAAATCTGGAAACATTTGATGATGCCATTTCAATCTGCATGTCGGGCAAAACCACCCTGGCTGGGAAATTGTGGTTCCGAGAAACGAGACAACATACAGGCATCACATCATAGGGAAACACACACGCGGAACTCTTCCAGTTGGAACTATCGAATGAATACAGTAGGCTAAATGACGAATGACCAG